CACAGCACGTTCATGATCATCTCGATCTCATTATAGACAGCCCGATAACGAACTCATTATAAATTATTTATGATCTTATTTTAGTGTCATTAGATTCGCGTTAACCTAAAACTTGCTGAATTGCAGTTGGTGATCTGATTTATGAGTATCAGGGTTTAACTACCAGAACAAAGTTGGTAATTGAGCAAGAATACAGCAAACAGTAGCTCTAAAAATGTCAAAAACGAAAAACAAAAAAGAAATGGATAAAACTAATTAAAGTTCTACTGGGTGGGGGAATCGAACTCCCGAACTCGAGACTGAGACTCACAAAACCTAGCAACTGCGCGATGGTCTCTTGACAGTCGTCAAACACTACTCACTAAAAATCCAGATAGAAAAATATAACGGTATGCAGCAAAAGTAAGCAAGCCACAAGCAAATTGTCACAAACCAAAAGAGTAATTTATTTGCGACTTGGGGGAATAAAATAGATTTGTTTCTGAGAATTTGAATTGAACCATTCAAAATAATTTATGCGAGTCAAATCATTATCAAAGGATTCAATCTTATTTCAGTTTTAAAATATTAAGTGCATAAGCCGTCAGAATTAAAGCCGACACCCAATAAGCTGAGAAACTAACTGAAAAATTCAGACAGCACCAAGAAAAAGTATCATTGCATACACTTGCTAGTACATCCCGCATAGCAAGCACACACGAACTTAATATAGGTGGTACATCAAAAATTACAACTTCTTATTCGGTTTACTCTGTGAACAAAAAGTTTTAGGAGAAAATCTCTTAGAACGCGCTTACAACACCCTTGCAAGGTTGAAAAAATGTACCACCCCAAAGCTCTTTCAATTTGTCAATAAAACTATCCTCATTTGAGAAAACTGGATAACACAGAGGCGAAGCTGAGCTTCACAAAACTTGATATTATTATTATTACGACTCTACGACATGAGTTGAAAGGGGCATTCCCCTCAAAATTATCGTAAGTCAGAACGTCAATTGTCGGCAATCCTTGCACAGGCACACTGTGCGCCATGTCCAAAGGTTTGTCTCAGAAAAAAAATGTTTTTAAAGTAAGACCACAAGTAGTCGAGAAATCGGCTTTTGAGTCCATTTTCTTCCAAATAGTTTACTTCTATAGAAAAGTTTGTTCGGTAACCTGGGGTTCGAGTTCGGAATCAGATACATGGTCCAGTCTATGCATATTTGGCCGTTAAAAATTTTGAAAAGAAAAAACATGTCGATCAGTTCCAGAAACAAGAGAATCGAAAAGATATTGAGCATCTTCAGTCTTTCTACTATCCAGCATGTCGCGTAGTGTAGAAAATTTTCGATTGTGTTCATGTTCATTTTTGAGGGACACCGTGCAGGGCTGCCGTATAAAAGAATCGGAAGCAGCATGGACTTGTAGAGATTCAACTTGGTTTGCATACATACGGCTGGTGAAACATTTCTTTTTATTTGAAAAAAAAAATACTTTTGTTGCTTTCGCTATAACATCTTCGACAAGATTTGTTCAATTCAGAATCTTGTTTACAATAACACCTAAGTCTTTTTCCGCTGACTTCGTTTGAATAGACTCTTCACCAAGCATCAGACCAACATTTGTTGGCGAAGAACAGAAAATTCAGAACGGCACACTTCTCTACGTTGAAATCTATAAAGCTTGCGGTGCTCCAATTTTGCAGTCTATCGATGCCATCTTGCATATTATTGCTTGATCTGTGGGTAGCAGCCAGAAGTTTCGTGTCGTCGGCGAAAGAGAAAATTTGATTGACTATTTCATCCGGAAGATCGTAAACATTAACAAAGAAAAGCAGCGGCCCCAGTAGTGATCCTTGTGGAACACCACTTGTTGCACTTAAACATCCAGAATGGTATCCATCTATGTCCACAAATTGTTTTCTGTTACTCAAGTAGCTTCTAATAAGTTTCAGAGTCTTCCCAGTGATACCAAGTTTTCGGAGTTTCATAATCAGGACATCATGAATAATAGTGTCCAAAGCTTTAGCAAAATCGAGATAGACAGCTTGCGTAGTCAAATTAGAATCGTTACTGTTGAGTGACCTCGCCGGAAGCCATGTTGGGATGCATCTAGATGGGACACTATCACTGGGTGTACAGCATCAAAACACATTTCTCGAAAATTTTCGAGACTATTCAATAAAGTCACCGGCCTGTAGTTGACTACGCTCGAATTGTCGCCTTTCCTAAATAATGACTTGACTTAATCAATTTTCTATTGGTTTGGATAGATGCAAGTTCGACAATTTGTTCTGAATAAATGGCTCAGCGATTTTGACAAAACTTTTGAAATTTTGAACAATGGTGGAGGTATTGCGTCGGGGCCTTTCGACTTGATTTCGTCCAAGCATCCGCGGATACTCAGAATTTTGTCCTCCGAAGTGTCAATAAAAACTTATGGCGCTGAAGCAGGTTCCTCGTTGAATGCGCAGTCTCGATTTATAGTGAACACCGATTGAAAATATGCATTGAACAAATTTGCCTGTGATGACTTCGTTGTAGCTGAATTGTTACCCCAGTGAACTGATTCCGGAATATCGCTGCCTTTCCCTAATGACTTGAAGTACTTGAACAATGAGCGCGAGCTGCGACCATTGGCGAGGTTACTTTCATAAGCTGTTTGGTCGTCTTCACAGGCTTTGCTTAATGCTACCTGTTTGCTTGTAAGCTTAACTCGGAATTCTTCTGTTTCTTTGCGTTTCAGTTTGCGTTCTAACGTTTCAAGTTTTTTCAGTTTGCGTGAAGTTTCGCTGGACTTCCACGGTTTGAGTTTCCTTCTATGATTGGTTCGTGTAGGAACTCTCCTTTCAAAAATTGGTGAAAGCAGTGAATGCCATTCATACAAAAGTATGCTCAGATTTGACCAGCAGATTCCCTTGTGCAGATTCCCAGCAGCTCTGTGATCTGACATTGTCTAATTGCTGATGAGGTATAAGCTCGATCGAGCTGAGAGTCGTTTTCAATTTTCAATACAAAGTCGTAATTGAATAGCATAAGGTCGAAAGTGTTCGCATTAGTAATCAGGGAGTCCACAGTCAGTGTTAAGTTAACTAAGTTGAGTGAGTAAACGATCAATTTTTCGTAACTGTCTTGCGGGCACAAAGATCTCCTGTTGATATTCAAGTTCCGATCTCCCACGAGAATTAGGTTTCGTTTCGAGTCGGCTGCGATAGCTTTAAAGAAGATATCCCATTTTGATTCAGTCCACCTATATGAGCTTCCTATTGGTGGGTTATAAGCACAGAAAATCGAACACGGCAGATGCGTGTCGATCCGACAAGCTATGATGTCGAGATCACCAGTGTTCAGAAAGCAGTGTCTCAACTGGCGTTTAACCCCAATTAAAACTCCATGTTCGCTGGAAGATGTAGGTGATCTCTCTTTGCGGTGAAGATGATAGTCTTGCAGTAGGAGTTCTTCATCAGAGAAATTATCAGTCCACCAAGTTTCAGTCACATTGAAAATATCAGGGTTGCTAAGTACAATTGCTTTGCTAAAAGCAAGTCTTCCTCAAGTTTTATAAGGCTGCGAGTATTGATTGTTATAATTTTCAAGTCAGTTGAATGTCATTCTTGAGCGTTGATGTCGAAATCTTCAATCACCTTTATCTCGATATCGTCGTACAGCAGCTTCGGTGATTTTATTTTCAGTTTCTGTCTATCAGCGCCTTTATCGAGGACTTGTCTCGGCAATTTCAGTAGTTTGTTTTCAATCGCCATCTCATTGTCATCCAATACACGAGACACATACTTTTTCATTGTATGCTTTCAGACTCTTGGCCCTTGCGAGCGAAAGTTGTGCTGAACATATCGTTGAGAGTGTAGCTAAGATTATTCGGTTCCCCGATTTAGGTCCCGTAGTTTTCCCAAGTCGCCGGATTTGCGTAATTGTAGAGTCGACTTTTAGAAACTTCAATTTGGATGTGGTCACGATCAGTTTGCTCGGCGCATTTGTTGCCTTCGATCAACCTCGTACGTTCTCTTTTTATTTATATTTGTAGCATTTGCAGTAAAGATGAATGAATGACTACAAAAATGAATGACTACGCTGAGTATCACAGAAAAAAAAAATGAAAAAAAAAAAAACAAAAAAACTTCTAAAAATCAATTGCAACACAATCAATTAAAAACTGCAACACAAGCCAAGATATCTGGAACAAAATTACGCGCATCATTAGCAACTTTACAAGGAGCTTTCGTAATGCTAGAAAGAAGCCGAATTTTCAAAACGTCCTTTCCGCAGAACAAAAATTTGCAGACAGAAATCTATATTTGCCGAAAACAGGTCTCGATTTCCAGGTCTCGATTTCCAGCTTGCAAACAGGTCTCGACTGGAATCGGAACTCCCTGGCTTTGTCGTCTCAAGCATGGGTGTTACAGCAAATAGGAAGAGAGTTGAACTTTCAAAAGTTAAACCTACCACTTTTAAAAAAACCGCGCTACGGGATCTAAGCCGACAAAAATAAACGGACCGATGATAGCCGGAAAAATCACAAAAACTCTAGTTTACAAAAATTACAGGTCCCGGCCGCATTCCAACCACAATCCTTCGCCGTCTCAAACAATTGAGTTACCTGTACGCCAGATGGTTGACCGAATTTGAATTTATAGTTACCAAGCGGTAACAAAGCCGACAATATTTGAGCAGAAACTTTTCATGCCAGAAAAAATTCTTAACTAAGAAAGAAACTTTACGTTCCCTATCTTTTTCAATGCATTTAAAACAACAATCAACAAAAAGAGCAAACTTCGATAAGGCCCGCTCAAAATATAAATGCTGCAACAGAAAGGCCCAGTAGATGAGTCCTGTGAAAAAAAATTTCTATACGGGAGAAAAAGTCACGTACCCGATTGCAATACCATTGTTTATCGCAAGGATGAAAATCCACTTTTGAATTAAAAACTAAGAGAAACCAGAATTACTAATCTATCAAATCAATTAAACATATCATAGACTGTTAAAATTTAAATTTTCACGAACCTGCGACAATGGGCTGTGCAATTTCTGGGAAAAAAGAAGCAAAAGTGAATCCATCGGACAGATCTCCCCTTGTGCTGGTATGAAGTTGATAGAAGCGCAAGTATATCCAGCTGACTAGCACACCATTTATCAGCAACAGGAGCGTTGGAGCTAAAGATCAGAAAAGAGCTCTTTTTGATTTCTATCATCATCAGCATGTTATATTGTTCCGACTTTCGATACGAAAGTAACGGAATATTTGTGCTCGGGGGTGGGTTTTTTTCAGGCATATTTTGACTTTTTAACTATCCATTTTTGACGCAATTTTTTTTTATCATTCAAAAGGTATTGTTGTCCTGAGTTTAAATTTGAAAAGATATTTCACATTTCACCTGTGATCATTTTTCGTAAAATTATGGGGGTTTAAAGATTGCCATTTTGGCCAATTTGGGACAATTAACGCGCGATATATTTCGAGCTATTAACGCGTAAGCGGAGATTTAATCCGTTCTAGAAATCGTTCCAAAATGGTTGAGCGAAGCTTATTTGCCAAAATTGATTTGTTGCAAGGAACGAAATCTTTATATGGCGTGTGGGGGATAATTTTCATAAAAAATTTCATATTTTAGAAAAAAAGTTTTCATTTTATTTTATTTCATTTAATTTTTTTACGTTATTACTGCTGCTCCATAAGCCTTAAAAGGCAGTCGGAACATTCAGGGCTTCGCACTGATACGAGCTTCGCCCTGATACGAGCAGTCTTGTTCTATTTAAATTTGAAGAAAATTATTACCTGATGTTATATTAAGTAATGTCATCAACAAGCAAACGATGACAGCTGTAAAAGGGAGATGTTTTACGCGGATATGCAGAAAGGGAAGTGAAGAAATAACTTCTTCAGGAAGCAGCTGCTTAAGGGCCACTAAGACTCCTCCTATAAAGGCAGCTAGGCCACAAACTCTGGTTTCGAAAAGAAATTGTTCGTTCCCAACTGCCATGAAGGAGACTAAATACATGAAGGTTGTCCATAGCCCACTGATGGTATTTGTAATCAAGTAGAATAACAGCAACTCTAAATCTCCCCACAAAGGTTGCACATATCTGCCAGCTAAAAATATGAACAACCAATTTCTGAATAAATTCCAAATATGCACATCGATCAAAGCGTATGTGAACAAAGTCCAAACTTTGAAGCTCGGAATGAGATTTCCCGGAGTAATACCAAGATGCTCTTCGATACCATTTATAAATGACAGGCAATAGAAAAGGGTAACTTCAACTAGCAAAAATTTTATAAACAATCCAAACGACTGAGTGGACTCCACGCAAGCTCTTAACGATACGTCGGCACCACTCAGGGACGGGAGGACCTTCTTCATCGGCTTTAGCTTCTCATGGATCTGAAAAAAAAATCATTTTTAATACTGATAAACTTATGTGTTTTATAGGATAATTCTATTATCGAGGATTATTCTGTAAAATTTTGATTCTTTCAAAGCTGGTGATGCACTTATGTGCCAAAACTTTCATAAATTACATTTCTAACTCCTTCGATAAACTTTTATAATTCAGAAGGTCCGCAATTATCATGGTAACCGAAGTTACTACACTAATCCTTCATCCTTTCATCCATTCGAAAAAATTGGGAATTTCTTTTTTTATACACAGCGGCCAAGCAGAGCTTCGCATCACTTGCGATACCAGACAAGTAGCATTCCAATCTAGCAGACAGGAAAGGAAGCGATTAAATCCAGAGAAAACGGAAAACTTTCGATAAAACCACAATTAAAAAACTTCGAAAATTGTCTGGGAGGATCTTCTATTTGCGGAAAACACTTTCTGAAACCCATTCGACAGCGTTTGATGAAAATTTAAAAACAATCGAGCGTAGAAAATAGTTGCCAAATGTGCCAGTCGGTCATATTTGGAACTTTGACCTTGAGAGAAGAAAAAAACACTTGATTTTGGAGTGAAATTTAATTTTTCAAAATTTCGAATGGAACCTGTCATGCACGATTTTCTCGCGAGAACTGAAAATCAGAAAAAGAGATCAGAACAATTTCAGAACAGTTGAATAACAATCGCGGGAAAGTTGCTAGAAAAATCGGTGGGAAATTGCTATTCGCAATTTCAATAGCAATAATAGCCTAGAGTAGAGCTGTCCCATCTGAAACAGAGACGAGAGCATTCCCACGAATTGGATTGTTACGATTGGAATACTATTATTGACTGGACTAGAGTGAACCTTCGGTGGAAAGGTGGACAGCTTGAGTGTCCCAATGGTTCACGAGAACTTGCAGTCTAGAGTAAAAACTTGTTCTTGTTGTTAAAACTGACTAACATTAAACTCATATTAGTTACTTTATTAATTCTTGAGTTGTTTACCGACTTATTTACTTCCTGGTTCTTGAGCGTGCTACAATGTGAGTACTTAATTTAAATTTCTAGAGTGTGTTTTATGATTGTTATGTTGAGGTAAGGCGAGTTTTAGGTTGATCCATCTGAAATGGATCAAAGTTCCACTGTCTAAGAAAAAAGCAACTTAACGGATTGTTCCAACCCGGTTTTTAACGGCGTTCATGTATTTTGGGTATCTAGAGACCTAAGTATGGGGACGTTTCTAATTCTAGAGTGGGGGGATATTTTAGTAGTAGCCTTTAAGCTGTAACGGGTCGTAGTCTCATGTCACAAGCGAACCGAACTGGCTCCGACCGTTCTTGAGGTAGAAAAACACAAGAGATAGTGTCCCTGACCCTTGAGCCAGTGGTTATAGGGCCTATTTTTCTTAAGCCTCATGTGTGACTGCAGTAGACGAATGTTACATAGTGTTTTTATGGCGCTCCTGGGTGTTTACGACATCAAGACTACGGAGTCGAACCCACTTGAGACAGCTTCGGGCTGAATGCCCATTCTAGAGTACCGGCGGTACGGTTCGACAGGAACGTGCAAACCTTCCGGTTGTACCGTGATAGCTTTTTAAGAAAACTCGAGAAAATTTCCTGGTACGCTCTCCGAACGAGGCTTAGCTAACCGAGTAAAGGGGGCAACTAGGGGGACAAAAACACGAGCAAAAAGACAAAAAGCAAAACAAAAACCAAAAAAGAATAGAAAAAGGAATAAAAACCATAAAACGAAAAAAGACAGTGACTTTGACACCAGATTAGTTGGATCAAACCTTTATATTAATTAAATAGTATACCCATACTGTTTTACAAGTTCCATCGTTTCGATCAACCTAGCAATTTAAACCAGTAAACTGAATAAAGTGCCCGAAGTGGGGCGTCGTCAAGGGTTTTCAGATAGCTTGGAACTTAGCTGGACCAATAGGAGACTTGACTGGAAGAGGTGACCAGCCGAGTGGGAAAGTGGTTCAGGGACATTTGAGCTGAACCAATAGGAGACTTGACTGGAAGAGGTGACCAGCCGAGTGGGAAAGTGGTTCAGGGACACTTGAGCTGAACCAATAGGAGACTGGACTGGAACAGGTGACCAGTCGAGTGGGAAATCAGCCAAGAAGGATTTGGCAATTCTCGAGTTCTCAAGTTGGGCAGAACGGGTATCGTTAGAATCCACATTACATTATAGGAGATAAGTGTAAAATTGGATAAGCGAAATCCCCCAGTTTTGAGGAACGTTTTTAATTGAGCAGGCCTGGAAACAGGTCTACGGTTTTCTCTTGAGAGGTTTAGCACCCGGCGCTTAAAGTAATTTTTAGGCTTAAGAAGGGGGGCTAGAAAGGGGGGAGGTTAGAAGGGGGACTGGTTAAGTTAGAGGTTGGCGGTTGTAAATTGTAAAAAGGGGGAAATTAGAGTAACTAATTAGTCGACATCATTGACTTAGTTACATTAGAAATTAACACGCGTTGGTAATATTAGGTGGAGATCCAAAATTCAACTCGAGTTAAGACTGGTACGCTGGTTGGTTTGGTAGGGGGGACCGGATATAAACAGCTTTTGTGAAACCCCATAAGATCACTAGTGGGGGGAGGAAAACGCGTGGCAATTAGGTACCAGACATTTTTTTCGACGAAAGGTAGACATTGGTCACCTTTGAATTTCAGGTGGGCTCATTTTTCTGTTTTTATTATTTTTCTTACTTAGATTTTTGTTGCATTTTAGTGAGGATTTGTGTTTGGTTTTATACGAACAGGTGATCACAAGATACCTGCGCACCTACATTGAAATAGAAACAACCAAAAAGAAGAGGGGGGTCAGCATTTGGCTTTTAAGAGAGGGTTTTTGGGAAAATTTTACTAGAGCTTGAGTGGTGGTACAAGGTACGGTGATTCAAGAAGACCCTACAACGAGGAAGACACTCCGTGACGAGTCTTGGGACAGTACCGAAGAAGTCTTGGGACAGAGCAGTCTTGGGACAGTGGTCTTGGGACAGGGTCTTGGGACAGTGGTCTTGGGACAGGGTCTTGGGACAGTGGTCTTGGGACAGGGTCTTGGGACAGTGGTCTTGGGACAGTGGTCTTGGGACAGTGGTCTTGGGACAGGGTCTTGGGACAGTGGTCTTGGGACGGGGTCTTGGGACAGTGGTCTTGGGACAAGGGTCTTGGGACAGGGTCTTGGGACAGGGTCTTGGGACAGTGGTCTTGGGACAGGGTCTTGGGACAGGGTCTTGGGACAGTGGTCTTGGGACAGGGTCTTGGGACAGTGGTCTTGGGACAGGGTCTTGGGACAGTGGTCTTGGGACAGTGGTCTTGGGACAAGGGTCTTGGGACACTAGTCTTGGGACACTAGCCTTGGGACACTGGTCTTGGGACACTGGTCTTGGGACAGTAGTCTTGGGACACTAGCCTTGGGACAGTAGTCTTGGGACACCAGCCTTGGGACACTGGTCTTGGGACACTACCCTTGGGACACTAGTCTTGGGACAGTAGTCTTGGGACACTAGCCTTGGGACACTAGTCTTGGGACACTAGCCTTGGGACACTGGTCTTGGGACACTACCCTTGGGACACTAGTCTTGGGACAGTAGTCTTGGGACAGTAGTCTTGGGACACTAGCCTTGGGACACTAGTCTTGGGACAGTAGTCTTGGTACAAGGGTCTTAGGACACTAGCGGAGAGTACTGTGATAGTGACGAATAGTCTTGGGACGGTATAAAAATTGAAGTAGAATCACAACAAGTGTGTCTTAAGACAGAATAAGACAAATTGAAATAGGTACGGTTAAGACCAAATTAAGGAAAGTTTTTCGGAGGTTTTAGAAAGAGAATTGGATAAGGTTTTTAACACGTTGTACAGAATTTGTTACCACAAAAAATATTTTTTTTACCCTTAGAATAGAATCGGGTATATAATAAAATTGTAAATAGGAGCAGTTGTAAATAGAAATAATGAGGCGGAGTAGGGTACCGGTGCTCGAAAAAAGGTCAAGTGGATCAAACACGAAATATAATTCATCGCTGCGCGGAACGACATCAACGGGCCCAAAGATAACGAAGACGAACTTTTCAGTTAACATGGTCAGCACAAGGAGTACAGCGGAGAACAGGGCGAAAGAGGGCACGGAAGGGGAGCGAGTAGAACCCACCATCGAGATTGATCTAGAGACACCCGATCAAAGTGTGGATGAAACAAGGAAGATGGCGACAGAGTCAACTCCAATGCCCAATGCAGAGGAACCGAACCAGAAACCCATAGAGTTCTCACCGATAGATGACGCGGAAGATGCAATAGGCAACACCGAAGAAACGGTGAAAGAAGACTCTCAAGTAAAGAGGACATCTTTTACGGAAAAATTGGGAATAATGTTCGGAATAAAAACAAAAGAAAACGTGACTGAAGAACCAAAAGCAGAAAGAGCACGAACATTTGGGACAGTGAGCACGAAGACCTCAGAAGCCAATCCAAGAGAGGAACAAGCTAAAGCAGAGGCTACGGCCGAAGAGAGACCGACAGCTGACCATGAAGAGACTACCATTGAGCTGGGTGACTTGTTGGCGAAATTAAATCAGATTGACAAAAGACTTAAGCACAGTGAAGAAGACAGAGAGGTGATAAAAAAGGAGATAAGATACAACAAGCACGAGTATCTAGACAGTTATTTTAACCTAGCTAAGGCAACAGATGAGAGACTCAAGGAAATGTCAGATAAGGTAGAAGCCACCAATGAAGAACGAGAAAAGAACATCAAAACAGACATGCAACAGTTGAAGAACCGATATGATGATGTCAACAGCCAATTAGGGAGCCTGGAAAGGAGAATGGACACAATGAGCAAGAGTCAAGCCGAGAGTTCGTGTGCAATACAGGCGAAGTTGGATGCAATCTTGAGAGGTTCCACTCCACAAGAAAGACCGGCAGCGGATCGTACGCAAAGCACCAGAGTTGACTTTGTAGAACCACAAAGGAACAAACGGCAATCGACACCGTTGCCCTTAACCAGG